CGCGATATCTACCGACCCGAGATAACGAGAAAGAACGGTGAAAAACGTTTGCCGAGTAATTTAATGAGCACACGAGCTCGAACTCGAGCGGAGCAAGTTGATGGTAGCGACCACGAGACGAGAATCGATGGATTAGACCGGCGAGTAAAAGCGACTTACGATCTCCTAAGGAAACCGGAGACGAGAGACGGAACTCACTTGCCTCGCTTTCCTTTTGTAGTCGAATCGCAGTTTCACGCGACGAAAGCGAGGAGAACAACAGCCAAGAAATAGGAGACACGCCGAAAGCCGAAATCTCGGGACCAGCAACGATGAATTACGATAGGCTCGCGGTGGTAATTAAGTAGTTTCGAGCGATTAATTAAAATTTATTTAAGCGAGATCCGGGCCGTAGTTTTGCGGCGAAGTTCAACGAAAGAAGAATCTGTTTGGTCCGGGTCACCGGGCGCTGATTTTCACCAGGTCGCGTGCTTTAAATATTCTCGTCGCGGACACTTTCATTTCCGAGCACTTCCTGCCGGGGAGAAATATCATCGTAGGAAATTGTCCGCGAGCGCAACGGCTAAGAATAAGCCGAAGCGTGACCGAGTTTCGTCCTCCTATCGTCAACTTCTTCTTCTTCTTCTTCTTCTTCTTTTTCTTCTTCTTCTTCCACCGTGTGTATCCACGTTCGCCCAGCGGCAAACATTTGAAAAACCAGACACACTCCTGATAGCGCGAAATTGAATTTTTAAAGCTAAAAGGGTGAGTTACGCAGGGTCGTTGCTAGTGCAATTGATCTGTTAATTTCTGTTCGGAGATTTTACGAAGACTGCCTGGTGGTTTCACGTAAATGGAAATTGTAGCCTGGCAGAGATAAAAAGTATTAACTTAGCTTTTGACATTTTCACGCTTGACGTGTTATTGTAAGCGTACGAGTCAGCATATTTGTATTTGTCTTTGGTGAAATTGCCTTGGACTTGGCGCACTACGTTGCATTACGTCGCTTTTGCAGAAATATTATACACGTTTACGCTGTCGTACGTGAAATTTCATCCCTGAATATTCTTTCGTTTAATTTTAAACGTCAACAAACTCAAACGAACGTAATGAAACATTCTGTGTTTTATCATTCAGTAGTATTAAACAAACAGTAGAAAAGTTGTCGTTTGTAGTAATTATAAATAACACGACAATGCTGTTATTACGAAACAACGGCACGAAATTTCACTCACAATAACCTTTAATTACAAACGTTCGGAGTTTTGCCATTTTATCGTATGTGTTTGTAACATCTCGAAATGTCCGATGTTGCATTCGTTAAACTGTTACATTAAACGTTATGAAAATTAATCTGGTAAATTCAGACCACAGTTAATGTTCCGATTCGAATCCTGAAATATCCCGCTAGATTCTCGTTTCTTAATCGAAACTCAAGGCGAGATAAAATTCGATTAAAGCAAGAAAAATTCGACGAGCAAGGGTTGATGAAAGACTCGACAACAGGGGTTGAAAGCTCTAAAATTTTCATCGACATTTAATAAAACACGAACGTCGATGTCAACAGAGGAGAAGAAAAAAAAACGGTAGAAAAATGTAAATAATTCGTCAATTACGTCCTTAGAAGAAGGATGTTCCCGGTCGTTCTGCCTGCCTCTACCCTTGAGAATCGGCATAGCAAAGCCGCAGCGACCCTCGCAAGCGCCGCCCTATTCTTGCTCGCATCAGCAGCAGCCCATTTAAATAAGAAAGACATCTCTGACGAGATAGAAATAACACGAAAGGGACCGAAGCAAGCCCGCCTCTCAATTCTATTGGGCGATAATCCTCTTCTCGATGATCCCATAAAATCGTCGTATATCGCATGGCGCGTCGTAAATAATCGATAATACTACTTTCTTCCCTCGCGAAGAAATATGTTCCCTCGAAGAAAGGAAACAAAAAAGATATAAATCTATATCTTAGGAAGTCTATATCTGTAGGTATATATAGGAAGATTTAGGCTCGTTCGACGTGCGCGTTCGACTATATTGATAATAATTCGGCTGGTATTAAATTTCGTCGCAATTACCGAGGCATTATACCGCCAGCTACTTAGACAGTACGTCGTTATATAAGCATTATACCGTTCCAAGAAAATATACGAACGAAGTCTGGCGAATTATATAAGGGAAATAACATTTACTACATAGCAAGTTAGTAAATAGAAAATTAGCGAGCTCGGAGACGCGAGTCGTTGGCACGAGGCAGCCAGGGGGAGAAATTCGTTACTACCACTTCGTAGGAGGGTGCTAGGCGACGAGAGGGACGAAAGATACTGGTTTGGCATCTACGCAATTTCCTTCATTAGCATCGAATTTCCGCAAGATACCCTCCCCTGGCTTTATCCCATCCTCCCGCTGATCCTACGGCGAGCTACCAACAGCTCTTTCCCCTACCACGGACTTCCCCTTATCCCTTGCGTAAACCAAATCTCTCTAGCCGAGCAGAGATACAAGCTATCCACCATCCGGTTCTGATAAAGGCAACTGCTGTTGTATATTATTTCGCGACAAATCTCTCACCTATAGACTGGATGATGCGTGCTCCATCCTTTTCCCACGAAGCGTATCAGATAAGATTCGCACTTCGATTCAGCGAAACTATCGATGCGAGCAAATACCTTATACTCACTGATTTTGAAAGTGTAATAAAGGAGGACCACGGGAAATATTTATGAATGTATTTTGAGCGTAACGAGACAGAGCTGTTACGACTCTGAAGTATGATAATTTTGTTACATTTAATAGTAAAGTATTTAAGTACTTTTTAAGAGTTGGAGAGAATTCCATGGCCAAATTTAATTAAAAAAAAAAAAAAGCAGCTCTCATAATATGTGATTTTGAACTTTAATTGTTGCTTTCATAATTACACTAAATATTTTACAACTTCTACATACATTCGTAGAATAGTTTCGAATTTTCCAAATACGTTTTCCACGAATTATTCCACGAATAAATTCATTTCAGATTGTATTAACATAACCATGACACTTGTATTTCCCTTTAGCGTCAGTAAAATTTCAAAACGCAGACGATGTATCCATAAAAAGTTTCTACAAGTATTCAAACATTCTCCTGAACCAACATAGTTTCACGTCATTTCTCTATGCCTTCTTCTGTTATCCACTCATTTCCCCTATCATCCCTCCACCGTACAAAAACAACGTACTCTTACAATGCAAATATGTTCTGTATATTTCGCGAAATTCACACCGTGCCAGAATAAACGAACTGCCGTGGACCTTCAATATATTGGACATCAAGCTGTCTTGTGCAAATCAGCCTCGCTGTATTTCGACATTACTCTGCGGCCGTTGTTGAACTTTCTACTCTACGATATTGTTTATTTGCCTGTCACCGAGATCCAGATATGTACTTAATGCACGAAAAAAAAAAAAGAAAAAAAAATAGTGGAGAAAGCTCGATATCTTTTGCG